CCCAAGTTTGATATATTTCTTTTATTGAGAAGTGAGAAAATTGCAATATTCACACTTCACACTTGTAAGCATGTAGCAAGTGTGAAAAGTCGGATATTATCTTACATAGAATAAGATATAAGATATATTTCATGTTCACAAATGTTTATCATTTAATGCATAGTAATAGTGAAGAAAACCACTTCATTTTATAGAGGATATTGAATGAGTGTTGGTTCAGTACTGAATTTATTAAACAGGTTAAATAGAATTTTATTATGTGAGCCTCTAGCAAGCAAAATATTATTTTATTCAACAAGTTCAATAAATTCTGTCAAATATTATTCTGTCAGATTGTCTCAGTTAAAACATTTCCACATGAGTACACCTATACACAATACAATATACATAGAATACAGATCTACAAATTTGATACATAAATTCTCATAATTAATTATACCTTAGGTTCAGAGACATATTAACAGAGGAGGAAACAGTAGCATTTGAGGAAGATTTAGGAGAGGTATCGTTTTACGTGTTTCAAGGGATAACCAACCGGACCAAACACTGCCGTCTAAAATGTCTCGATTTTACAGATATAATGCTTAGTAAGTTATAGAGGATATTCAAGATTTTTTTCTCTAAATACAGGATTTATTTTCATCGCGTGGTATGAAAGAAAATATTTCATGAGTAGTGGTAGCCATGACTTATCCGCCACAAGTGAAATATGATAATTTTTATACCACAACATGATAAATACAGGATTTATTGTCATCGAGTGGTATAATAGTAAATATTTCATGAGTAGTGGTAGCCACGAGTTAACCGCCACAAGTGAAATATGATTATTTTCATACCACAAGATGAAAATAAATCCTATATTTTTATAGAGAAAAACTTGAATTTTCTGTTTATTTATATACATGTACATTTTTCTCTTTTTTTTGACATTACAATTTGAAAGACTTTCCCTTAAATAAGATTTGTATATTGGCTAAATTTAGAAGAAAGTGGTCTGGCAAGACATCAGTTAAAATACATAATACTAGTACATGTTTCACTAATTTTACAGTGAAAATACAGAAAATGAAAATAAGCATTTTATTTCATCAATATTTCTCAATTTTTCATTTTTATTATATGATAAATATATTTATTACAACATTGTAATTATGTACTCTAGATTAGACATATTCAGCATTATGTTGACATGAGATTGTTTTACATGTAAGACTTATCTGATATATGTAATTATAAGTAAATATTTACATGTATTCCTGTTGTTGTTGTTTGGATGGCAAGTGACTTTTCTTCATCGGTGCAAGTTAAGCAGTCTGGTCTTCACAGTGAAATGATTTATGAATTTACTTTTATCATGAGATAAACTTCTTTCAGATTCTTATTTCTTGTTACCGTGCTAACAACTTTTTATGGGCATTTAAGGTCGCATATTCACAAAACTTATCATACAAACCTGGCCACTGTTGTCATTGAAGAAATCTCAGATGAAACCAAAAGTACTGGCTAAGACTATAGCACGGGTTGCAGGGATAAACAGTAATACAAAGGGTATGTTCACACAATCTTCATTTTCTTTCACAGATTTAAAAAATACAAAGCAGACACAAATTTTGAAATTCATTTTTAGCTCGACTATTCAAAGAATATGAGAGCTATTGTAGTCGCCCCGGCGTCGGCGTCAGCGTCCGCGTCGGCGTCTGCGTTGGTTAAAGTTTTTTGTAAAGTCAAATATCTCAATTATTACTTGAGATATTCAATTGAAACTTACAATACTTATTTATAGTTACAAGGTACATCAGATTGACAAGTTGGATAACTCTGCCTACAATATTGACAGAATTATGCCCCTTTTTAACTTAGAAATTTTGGTTAAAGTTTTTTGTAAAGTCAAATATCTCAATTATTACTTGAGATATTCAATTGAAACTTACAATACTTATTTATAGTTACAAGGTACATCAGATTGACAAGTTGGATAACTCTGCCTACAATATTGACATAATTATGCCCCTTTTTAACTTAGAAATTTTGGTTTAAGTTTTTTGTAAAGTCAAATATCTCAATTATTGCTTGAGATATTCAATTGAAACTTACAATACTTATTTATAGTAACAAGGTACATCAGATTGACAAGTTGGATAACTCTGCCTACAATATTGACAGAATTATGCCCCTTTGGAACTTAGAAATTTTGGTTAAAGTTTTTTTCTAAAGTCAAATATCTCAATTATTGCTTGAGATATTCAATTGAAATTTAAAATACTTTTTTTATAGTAACAATGTACATCAGTTTGCAAAATTGCATAACTCTGCCTGCAATATTTGCAGAATTATTTGCCCCTTTGAAACTTAGAAATTTTGGTTAAAGGTCTTCAATGATATTTACTTGAAACTTTACACATGCACTTAGGGTCATAATTGGAGGGTCATAATTGTATGTCACTGACCAAGTTCCATAACTCTATCTTGCATTAAGGCTGATTCATATCCCCTTTTCTACTTAGTCTCTTGGTTAATGTTTACATGCAAGTTTTACATATCTCAATAACTATTAAAGGTATTTATTTAAAACTTCACATATGCATTTAGGGTCATAATTGTAGGTCACTGACAAAGATCCATAATTCTATCTTGCATTTAGGCTGATTTTTCTCCCCTTTTTATACGCCCGTTTGAAAACGGGACATATTATGGGAACGCCCCTGGCGGGCGGGCGTTCGGCGTCCAATTTTGTCCGGAGCATATCTCCTACATGTATGGAGGGATTTTAATGAAACTTCATAGAAATGTTCACCACTATGAGGAGCAGTGTCGCGCACATGAACCAGGTCTCTAGGTCAAAGGTCAAGGTCACACTTAGAGCTCATTGAAAAATGCTTGTCCGGAGCAAAACTTCCACATGTATAGAGGGATTTCAATATTACTTGGCACAAATGTTCACCATTGTGAGGCGGAGTGTCGCGTGCAAGATTCAGGTCCTTGCGGCCAAGGTCAAGGTCACACATAGAGGTCAAAGTTCAGATAAAAATATGAAGATGTGTATATGGACCATTTAGTCATCATTTATTGAGGGATTGTAACACAAATGGTCATTATCAAGACTATGGCTGTGATACATATAATTTAGGTCAAAATATACAAGGTCAAGGTCACTAAAGATGATGAAATATCCAGATTTTGTAAATAGAATTTAATCAAAGGGAGACAACAAAGTTATTACTTTGTTCATAAATGACTTACACAATTACTCCCCTTTCACTTTCAATTCTAAAAATAGAATTTAATCAAAGGGCATGAAATAATCCTCTTTCTTGGACTTGAGTATGTTCTAAAGAATGTATCATTTATTTACACATGTTTCATTCATTGGTCAAGATTCTTAACTGTGATAACTATGGTGTTCTGTAGACTTGGTATTTGTTCATAAAGATCATACAGTAATTACCTTATCAAATGTAAATACTTTCTCATAGAAATTTAATTATATTTTAATTTTCAAGTAAATATCAGTTCAGCTCATTCAAAGATTAAGAATTGTAATGAAATGTATTTCCCTAGAATAAAATCTTAAATCAGAATTTTTTAGTTATTAAATTACAATTACATGTACTTTTTATACGCCCGTTTAAAAAAAGATAAAAATATGAAGATGTGTAAAGGGACGATTTAATCATCATTTATTGAGGGATTGTAACACAAATGGTCATTATAATGACTACGGCTGTGACACATGTACTTTAGGTCAATATATGCAAGGTCAAGGTCACTAAAGATGGTGAAATATCCAGATTTTGTCTGGAGCATATCTCCTACATGTATGGAAGAATTTTTATAATACTTTATGGAAATGTTCACCACCATGATATGTATTGCTCCATGCATGATCCAGGTCTCCAGGTCAAAGGTCAAGGTCACACTTAGAGCTCATTGAAAAACGCTTGTCCGGAGCAAAACTTCTACATTCATAGGGGGTTTTCAATATAACTTGGCACAAATGTTCACCATTGTGAGGCTGAGTGTCGCATGCAAAATTCAGATCCCTGCGACCAAAGTCAAGGTTACACATAGAGGTCAAAGTTCAGATAAAAATTTGAAGATGGTTATAGGGACCATTTAGTCATCATTTATTGATGGATTGTAGCACAAATGGTAACTATCATGACTACAGGTGTTACACATTTAATTTAGGTTAATATTTGCAAGGTCAAGGTCACTGGAGATGATTAAATATCCAGATGTTGTCGGGAGCATATTTTCTACATGCATGGAGGAATTTTAATGTTACTTTTATAGAATTGTTCACCACCATGAGACGTAGTGCCCTGCACATAAACCAAGTCTCTAGGTCAAAGGTGAAGGTCACAGTTAGAGCTCATAGAAAAACACTTGTCTGGAGCAAAACTTCTACATGCATAGAGGGATTTCAATATAATTTGGCACAAATGTTCATCATTGTGAGGCTGAGTGCCGTGCATAAAATTCAGGTCCCTGCGACCAAGGTCAAGGTCACACATTCTGTGCATATCTTCCCTATTGATTTGTTTTAAGGTTCATTTAACAACACAGTGCCAAGAATAAAAACTTGCTTGCTAGATAACACTTATCCATAATGCCCCCATCTCCATCTAAAGCTTTTTCGTAAACGGGCGTATTTTGTGACTATGGCACCCTTGTTCAACTTAGAAATTCATGGTAAAGTTTTGCTTGTAAGCTGTTATCTCAATAACTACTGAAGGGTTTGTGCCTTTTTTGGGACAATTTTATGCATTCATAATAATAAAGCAGTGATTTACTTGATAAAACATCTTAATAACAAGCCTTTGTACCTTTTCTGTCAAAGTTTTGTATTCATAGGTAATTAGTATTATTATACTCAATAAAACACCCTTGTTACATTACCTTCCAAATAGTCAAGCCAATACTGTATAATTAGACTCTCTCTAAGGCATATAACATGAATTTATAAAAAAAAAATTAGCCCTTTTGTGAACTTAAAAAATTTAAAAATTATCAAGGCTCTTTTACTATCAAACACTAAGAATAGTCGAGCGTGCTGTCCTACCGACAGCTCTTGTATATATTTTATTTTCATAAACAGTTGACTTTTTAAACTGATCAATAGTTACCTGATTTACTGAAGTAAATGTGTAACGATTAATTTGAATTGCTATTATCCTATTGGACAACAAATAATTTCAAACACTAAAGATGAAGAAGAATAAAATATCATTCGCTGTTGCAATATAAACATAAAAATACAAGTTATATATACGTATTCTTTTGTGTTGATGTGTTTTAAAACAAGATTTAGTTTAAAAAAGGTATTCATCTTTTATAGGTGCAGACAAAATGAAACTAACGTCAGAGATAATACCAAAGATACTGGCTGAGAGGTTGACGCATGAGGTCATTGTGACATCGGACAGAATTGTGCTACCTCGAGGTAGGGAGTCCTCTAATTGCATCAATTGCATAAATTTTCAGCTTGACTATTCAGAGAAAAGTAGGGCTTTCCTTTCACCCTTGTGTTAGGGTTGGTTGGCTTAATGTAGCCTAGACTCGAAGTTAGTATCTGAAAATTTTGCACATCTGTTTATTGTCAATTTTTTTTATTCGAGTGTGGATCAAAATTTTGTTGTTCCTTGAAGTATTTTGATTTTTTTTTTTTTTTTACCTAAGCATCTTAAAGAAAAGAGATCAAGGTCAAATTTAGAATATTTCTTTTTTTGTGTCCATATCTTAATCACACTTTGATGAATTTTGAAATAACTTGGCACAAATGTTCACGATTCAGAATCTAACACAGATTCGGTAATCAAGGATGATCTTTGTTGGGTATGTTTCTTTCTATGACACATCTTGTTGGCTATTATAATTAGGTAATATCTCTAGTATTTTACTGAATATTACCAATTTTTAAATGTCTCCCTAGCAACTAAGATATTTGCTTGAATTTTTGCGCATATTTTAAGTGTCATGATTTAAGGTTACTGACCAAGACCTGTTACTATATTGATTTTCACTGAATTATTCCCTTTTTGTGAAATTTCCTGCGATCATAAGCAATTTTCATATATAATTATTTTGTGGTTTCTTGTTACAAATATAAGATACTAAATACATTTATTATCAATATAATTATCTATGGTAACACAGTTCTCCCATTATAGACCATTTCACTTAAAGTAATAGCTATGTAAAAAGATGTACCTATATGTAGTCTGATATCTGCTTTATGACAAAAATTTAAGACTTATAAAATCTGTCATACATTTGTATGTTGCAGTTCAGATAGAAGTATCTGTCCCATGGGTAGGTCCCGGTGGGACAAATATTCTGTACCGATTCGCAAACATGTCACATATTTTTCCTTTCATATCCTACCATATTCCATCATATTTCAAATTCTTAACCTTAATAAAACAATTTTCCATGGAAATTTATGTCATTACACCCCAAACTATTTTCTTACAACAGCATATGAAATTTCAATTTCATTTATAACGGTGAAATTACGTCATCCTAAGCATGCCATTTTAGCACTTGACTCATCACTCATCACTTGGCACCCCCCATGCCAGATGAAATTTCCGGTGTGAGTAAAAACTAATTGACACAAGTCTGATATGTGAAAAAGTAAATCCACTGGTAAATGTAGTTATGTTGACTTTATGATGGAAATGTTTTAATAAAATATTATCATTGAAATCAGATATAAATGTTATTGTTTTAGGTCAAAGATTGGAAGTTAAGATAGACAATTGTCATTTTACATCCAACAACATGTTCTTCATGGATTACATGATATGTAACTGTCTGCGTTCTATAACACCAGTATATGTGACAGTCTCCAATATTCACATCAAGTATGTATATGATAGTTATGCCATGTTAATTTATTTTGTTTCGAAAAATCTATGTTACCGAGTGGTTAGAATCTTTAGGTCCTTGACTTTAAATCACATTCCCCTCACCCCTGTTAAGTTTGAATCCCGACAGGAACTTTGGATTCTTTCATGTGAGGAATTTATTCAGCTGGCTTATAGAATGTCAGTGGTACTACTCAAGGGCCTGCTTGTGCCTGAGTGGTTAGAATCATTAGGTCCTTGACTATAAAACCACTTAACCATGACTGCTATTGAGTTAGAATCCCAACAGGGACTATGGATTGTTTCAGATTAGGAAGCTATCCGTCTGGCTTTCCAAACATTGGTGGTTCTACTCCGGTGCCTGAAATAATGCAAGAAGGAGCATCTTATGTCTTCCACCTCCAGTAAAGCTGGAAAGTTGCCATTTGACATTTAAAGTTATGGTGTGATGTTAAACCAAACCAAAACAAACGAAAAAAAACATTGCATATAAAATCACAGAAAGCTCCTTTACTGGCAAATTTATTGCCTGTCAGTTTGTAGACAAATAATTTCTGTAAAACGTTTTCATTTTACAACCTAGAGTCTTCATAAATTAGCTTATTATACTTTTGGTCAAATGCTTCATTTTCATCAATTTTAAATAGTTATAATTATTATCTTTACCCCAGAATGACAGTAACCTTCGTGGTGTAATTTTCACAATAACTTTTCATTGCGTTATTGTTCAGGCAAGTAATGCATATTTACAGTTTTTGTTATAATTTAGGTAACTTATATTTTATGTTCTGTAGATCAGAGTTGATGGAAGGGGATGGTTTCACAGATTCTCTCGTGCCATTTCTTGTTCTAAGAGGTCAAGATACAGAGGTAAGGTCATAGGGAAAGTGAAATTTTACCATGATACCAAAATTTGTTTATCAATAGCTTTTGATAAGGACAAGGATGATGGACACATCTGTGTTGTCAAGCATTGACATTAACCTTTTCCACCCTAAATATCTTAAATGGACTTGTCCATCTTTAAATCTGGACAAAATCATTCATTCTTTTTAGGGAAATTTTTTTAATATGTTCTGATTAAATAGCAAACAGAACAGACCATAAATTGACGGCAGGTATGCCTGGCTGATCATGGTCTGCACTGGTCACATGGGTAGAATCTGTTGCCACCAGTAGGCTAAGAGTTAATGAACTTCTCTATAACAAGACATGTTATCTTTAATATGGCTCTTGTACCTTTTTCATTCCAGTTTGTTCATTTTTTTGCCCCCAAAGGGCGGCATATGAAAACGCACCATCTGTCTATGTGTCAGTCTGTCTGTCTGTGCGTCCCCACTATTTGTGTCCGGACTGTAACTTTGTCATACATTGAGGGATTTAGAAATGGCTCGGCACAAATGTCTACCACATCAAGAAGATGTGTCGCGTCCAAGAACCATGTCCCTACCTGAAAGGTCATGGTCACACTTTCATTTTCAGTTTGACTATTCTAAGAATAGGGAGAGCTATGGTACCCACCCAAGTGTTTTCATCATACCTTGGCTAAGTGTTTGTGTGCAAGAGGTTATCTCTAAAACTACTGGAGGGAATTGGTTGAAACTTTGCACACTTATTTGAAAGCATAAATGGAGGTCACTTTCTAAGGCCTATACAGAATTATGGTTTTTTGAACTTAGAAAATTCAACAGTTTCCAGGCTCTTGATTTACTGTTAAGCACTGAGAATAGTCCAGCACGCTGTCCTGACAGGTCTTGTTTTAAAAGAAACTTATTCCCTTTAATGAATCGTTATAACATCATGAAATGAAAAAAGAAAAACATTGCTTATAGACTTCCAAATTCTCATGTAAATTGTTAAAGATAGTATTGAAACATCTTGTTTTGATTTTTATTATACATCAGAAAAAAAAAAGAATCCTCTTTTGTCAATATTGGCTCACTTGGTTATAATAGACTTATACAGGAAGTCCTTATTTGTGTGAAACTACAATGCCCTGGTATTTAACATGTAGCATTGATTAGTGGACCTCTACAAAAATGACATAAATCAAAACCCTAGTGTACAAAATGGGTTCCGTATAATAAAGTTAAAACATAAATTAAAATTTTTAGGTCTTTAAAACTATGAAGCCAAGAGGTTAGATATTTGGCTTAAAGCATTGATAAAGCATCTGGAGGATTGTTTCATTGTAAATAATATATGTTTAAATTGATATATTTATGTAATATGAAAAATATACTATACTAAGAAAGAAAAATAATCAGATATCAGATTTTTAAATAGAATGTTAAATATTTGAAAATATTTATCCATTTTTCATAAAATCATTTCAGTTATTAGATGGATTGTCATTGAGGCAGCTGGAAGAAGGAATTCTACACGTCATCTCCCCGGACATCATGAAATTCACCAATCTTCAAAGTTTGGATATCCAAGACTGTAATCTCTACCTTCAGGAGGGAATAACTCGTAGTCGCACAGCTACTCGGTCACGACTTTGCAATATGTTCTCAGCATTCCATCATTTACATCGACTGGACATCAGTTTTAACTTTCTCATCGGTTGTCTAGGCGAGTTGCTGGACGCATTACAAAACCCATTAGACTACCTCAGTGTTCGCGGCTGTGATCTTAACGAGACCGATCTCAACAATTTAGCCAAATCAAAACATGCGCCTCATCTGCGAGAACTAAATATGTCAAAACTGTGCAGTTTCTCAATGTACGAAAGTGATAGAATAGCTCCTCTGCGTATTTTGAAAACGATGAAACATTTTCCGAAAATGACCGTGCTTAACCTTTCGCAGAACCACCTTCCGGATGACGGTATTAGAGAATTTACAGAGATTTTATCGAAAGATCTTGCACATTTGAAAGTGCTAGATATCTCGGGTAATATTATGCAATTTGAAAGTCAACTCCAACTGGCAAAGGCGTGTGCGGAAATTCCCAAAATGCAATTGGTGCGTCTGACCTGTATGAATAGTGCAGTGAATGACGATATATTTATGAATAATCATCAGATTGACGGAATGTACAACAAACTGATAGAAGTTATGAAATCTCGAGGTAGAGACGATATTCATATCGATGTTGTTCAGTTATCGGTAGGGATACTAGTCGACTGGTTTGATTTCATAAATGATTGACAAGATGCGTGGATTGATGTTGGATAGATGGGACAATAAAAACGATCTGCCTACAGAAGCACTATGTGATTTAGAGGCAACATTTTATAGATTTGTGAATGCCAAACCAAGATGACTTGTATTTTAGAAACTTAAGTGTTAACGGGATAATCTACAGCTGCATATGTCTTGAATTGAAATTTTCTTTCATTCACTACAGTTCATTGTCTGCCTGTTCAGATTTTTTTTTTGGGGAAGGTTATAAAAGCAAGTTGTTTTTTTGTGTAACTGAGCCTTGACAAATGAAAAATTGTGAATTTTAAGTTATACAAATGAACAGCATTTTTAGAAAACTAAGAAATTTAAGCATTGTAAATTGTTACCTGTTTGGGACCTGTGATTAATATGACTTTTGAGTCTTAAGTAACTGCTACCGTATGTTTTTTCATTTATGTACAAAATATTTTGAAATAGCATTTAACGTTAAAAAGAAATATATTTTCTATATTATGTTCAACAAAATAACAGACTGTATTGAAATGTTTGACTAAAACACATTTGATAAAGTGTACAGTTGGAAACTACGAGATTTTATGGTGTTTTATGTGTCATTTCAAATGAAAAGTATGTGAAAAAATAATTGTATAGCTTTTCATTTAAGATTTTGCCTCCACTTATGAGTAAAATAAACATAGGAATAGAAAGAAAGGCAAAATACATTACATGTAAATAGAGTGATGTTTATATATAGATGGACAAAAACCATTTATAAATCAGGTAACAGCATGTAGAACATCCAAGGTTGTCTGTGGCTGAATGATAAGATTTGCTGACTCATGACAAATTGATCTACACTGCTTTAAGTTTGAACCCCGCCAGGGCATTTAGGATTCTTTCATGTGGGGTAGCTTTCTAGCTTGCTTACAGGAAGTTGGTCATTCTTGGTGTATATACTAATGCCTGAAAAGCCAGTGATGAATGTAGAGGCACCCCAGGTAATCATCCAATAGTAAATCTAGAAAGTTGCCATGTGACTTTTACAGTATTATTAGAACGACTAAAATGTTATTGAAATGTAAATACCTATGTAACAAATCAGCAACTATTTGTAAATATGTTTAATATATTGTTATAAATATGATGTTATATGTTCAAATTTCAAAACAGAAATACATGAAAGGCAATAAAGAAATATAAATAGGCCAAAATAGCTAGCTTACTATCTACGCAGAGCCAGGCAACAAACTGTTGCCTACAAACTTAAAATTTTCATCTTTATATCCCCAAACTTGATAATGAATTGTTCCAAAATCGGGAACTGGAAATGTTTATTTAAGAAATTCTGCAGATTAAGGTTAAAATTAAAAAAACTGAAAAGATGTTGTACAGAATGTTTTATTGATATATTTGTGAAGGAAGTACTAACTCATAATTTTGGAAGGCTTTTGTTTAATGTTATTTTTGATGAGCTTGCATACATATGTTCATATGTTATATACACAACATGTTTCATATTGATTAAAGCCAACGTTTTTCAGGTTATTTTATTTTGTTATTCTGATTTACCCCAATAGTCCTCGTCCAGTTTTCGGCTTACTAGAGTCTAATGTTCTTTATTCAATGTTTGGGATTCTGGTATAAAAAGAGTACACAGACATCGTTTAAATTAACAAACAGAAAAACTTCAATCACAAGAAAAAGACCAACATTCTTATTGAGATTCGAACCACCAGCAACAAGAAATGGGCTTCCGTAAACATTAGGACACTAGAGCCTCATAGTTGCTAAGTACATAGAATGCTAAGGCATTTCTAAGAAACTTAATACTTCATGAAGAACAAAATACAGAAGAAGATATGCTTTATTCAAACGTCACAATACACAATTGACGAAGCCATTATAGCTCATAGTAACAGTTTTGGTATATAAACATATGATTTATTTGTCAACAATAAATTTGTCAATATAGTTAACAAAGTATATGTAAAAATAGTAAGATACACTACGCTTACAAGCTTTGAATACATAGAACTCTAGTTGACTATGTAAATGTAGGTAAACTATAATATTGTAACCAAGTGCTATTTTTAAGGTTTTTGCTATTCCCAAGAAAGGTAACTCTGTCGGCCTTGTTTGATTATGTCCCCTTCCCTTGACCACATTTGCTATTTGCTCACCTGGTCACTTGAGGTCATTCTTTGTGTAATCAGAAGTTGATGGTCATAGTGACATGAATATATGTTTTTCTGACTAAGAAATTATTACTTAAATATTAAGGTTTGAGGAATTTGGTATTGTTTACAGCATAATTAACAGCACGGTGAGACAGGTACGTGTGATATAAAAGGAGTTTGATCCACAATCGGGCTCGTTGCTATTATATGTTATATATGATGGTATGTGACGCTATGCTAACTAGTACTGCTATGAAATGTTGATCTTATGGACTGTATGTAATATATTGGTGTCTACTACAAATTGAACAAGAACCAGCAAACCTCAAGTTCTGTTTTGAATGAAAGGACAACTGGGTCACAATATGAACGCCGGTGTAACCTTGTAAAGTGACCCCCATAGAATAATGACCCCCCGGTCATTATTTTATATAAAATAGTGACCCCTTCTATAAAATAATAACCCCCTTGTATATAAAATAATGACCCCTATATTATCTATTAAATATTGACCCCCACCTAACATAATAATTATATAAAGTCAACATCATATTACATTTGCTTATACGTGTTGTTGCTGCTTGTGGTACTGCTGCTGCCACTGCAACAATAACAGCTGACAAAACAACAGTAAAATTCAGAGGTCCCGTTAAGAATAAGCGAATATCTAATAAAAAAATTTAATGAATTTTAAAGTACTAATAATTGCTTAATGCAAAATTCTATTGAAAGAGTGTTCATTTTCAGTTAGAAGAGTTTCGGTTAAGAATGAGTTAAAAGCCCAGAGCAAAGCAACCTTTTTTTCTTTTTTCTTCATATTTCGCCTTCATTTAGGCAATTCAGCTATAAAGGCCATCATCTTTATATAGGTAAAAAGGAATTTGAATGAAAGAAATTAGTTCTTTATCACTTAACCTTAGAACTAGCAACACCATGCATATTAAGCAAACATCTCACGAGGGCGACAAACAGTGATTTTTATCAAGCGGAAAAAAATGAATCAATATTGTTAAAAAAGAGGAAATGACTACATACTACTTTGTATTCAAAATGATTCGGCAATAAACTCACATTAATAATGCACTAAAAAGCAAGTTCGAAATGTAAATACTGTTCTTAATAAGCTGAACAATTACACAATATGACCGACAAAAAAAAAGACACCTGCTTAAGTCGTTTGTAGTTTTCCATCGACAAAATCGTCTATGGTACTTCTCTAAACTTAAAAGAATCTCGAACTATTAAAATCATTTAATACGGTGTTCCGTTTGGACAATTGTGACTTTTAATTTAGTCTGTACCCGCGATGCACGATGGTACGATGGTGAAAACACTGGGTACGATGGTGAAAACACGATGGTACGATGATGAATACTCGATGGTACGATGGTGAAATCGCGATGGCGCGATAGTACGATGGTGAAAACACAATGGAACGATAGTGAAAACGCGATGGCACGATGATGAAAACACGATGGTGCGATGGTACGATGGTGAAAACGCGATGGTACGATGGTGAAATCGTGTTGGTACGATGGTGAAAACGCAATGGCACGATGGTGAGAGTGCGATGGAACGATGGTGAAAACGCGATGGCACGATGGTGAAAACGCGATGGTACGATGGTGAAAACACGATGACGCGATGGAACGATGGTGAAATCGCGATGGCATACCATACCGCGTACCATATCGTAAATCGCGGCTTAGGATGAAATAAAAAAATCACGATTGTCCAAACGAAACACCGTTATTTAACGTCCGTCATAAATAATGATATTTCGCCATACAAGACAGTCATGTTACTTTAATTTCTATGTTAAGTGCGCACGAATGTTGTTTTCACAATTAATGCCCTAAGAAAATAAGCCTTTTTATTCCAGTGTCATTCATTGTACAAAAAAGCCATTTGCTAATTAAAGAAAAATAAAATATCTGAGTCACACAAAATGAAGGAACGTTGTCCCTGTTTCTGAATACTCACTATCGGTGCAATATAATTGTTTGTTTTTTTTTTGTTTTTTTATTTTTCGATATTTCAATGTCGGTCTGGCAAAATACCTTTATACACTTTTCTTTGAATTGCGATAACATAACGCATCTTTCAAAAATGAAGCTATACTGACTTAGGTTGATGCTGTTGTTGTTGATATTTCCAAGTTTTTCCCTTCTTCCTCAATAAGTGGGCATATTTGCATTGTGTGCAGTGCAATGTAAGCATTCTGAAATTGGAAACGGGGATCTGGTCTGAACTTTAAAAAAGTGGCTCAAGATCTCATTTAAAAAAACATGTAACTGACGGCAAAATATCTCATTTTTGATTGTTAAAAGGCGATTGAGGCATAGAAAAGGACTATATTTATTTATAAGTGCTCAATTTATCTAAACAAACTATTACTGGAGGATATTAATTGAAAAATGAAAAGTGCAATACTATATTATGATGTTCTTTTCAGCTCACCTGAACCATTGGCTCAGGGAAGCTAAATTTAGGATAAATAAGATTGTCAATTGTCTGTCCACACTTAGTACGGTATTACTCTATTGGTCAATCAAATTAGATCACAGAGCCCATTTATGGAAAACCTTGTTAACTAAACAGGGCACATACTCAGCCCAAATTTCCTGGTAATTTGTCAGAAATGTATTTCTGATGATTGTTAGCTTAAGTTTGAATAGTGTCTACCTTTAGCATACAGCCCAAATATGAAGAAAACCTTGTTCACACTAAAGTGGTTACATTACCAAAATATCCTGGAAAGATGCTTGTGATTTATAGCTCAAGCTTGGATGTTGGTCAGCTTGGATGAGAATCTAGGTCACAAAGCCCAAATATGGAAAACCTTGTTAACAGAACAGGGCACATTTCAAGCCAAATTATCCTGAAAAGTTGTCAGAAAGATTGTGATTTGTATTGGGTCATCTTGGATGAAAAACTAGGTCACAAAGCCCAAATATGGAAAACCTTGTTAACAGAACAGGGCACATTTCAAGCCAAATTATCCTGAAAAGTTGTCAGAAAGATTGTGATTTGTATTGGGTCATCTTGGGTTAAAAACTAGGTCACAAAGCCCAAATATGGAAAACCTTGTTAACAGAACAGGGCACATTTCATGCCAAATTATCCTGAAAAGTTGTCAGAAAGATTGTGATTTGTATTGGGTCATCTAGGGTTAAAAACTAGGTCAAAAAGCCCAAATATGGAAAACCTTGTTAACAGAACAGGGCACATTTCAAGCCAAATTATCCTGAAAAGTGTCAGAAAGATTGGGATTTGTATTGGGTCATCTTGAGTTAAAAACTAGGTCACAAAGCCCAAATATGGAAAACCTTGCACATTTTAAGCCCAAATATTCTTGAAATTTGTCAGAAAGATTTTGTTGGTTACTAGCTCAAGCTTGAATATGGGTTGTCTGGGGTGAAAAACTCGAACACAAAGTCCAAATATGGAAAACCTTGTTAACAAAACCGGGAATATTTTCAGCCCAAATATCCAGGAAATGTGTCGGCAAAATTGTTTTGGTGATTTCTATCTCAACCAAGAACATGGTCATCTGAGGTGAAAAACTAGATAACACAGCTCAAGCAAATTCCTTGTTAACAGTTGATAGGTCACAGAGCCCAAATACAGAAAATTTGGTTAACGAAACAGGACTCATTTTAAGCCAAAATATCCTGGAAATCAGTGAGAAAGATTTTTTTTTTGATTTCTATCTCAACAAACAACATGTGTCATCTGGGGTGAAAAACTAGGTCACGGAGCCCAAACATAATAAAAACCGTTAATAACACACAAGGTAACATTTTCAGTCCAAATGTCCTGGAAAGTCAGAAAGGTCATTTTAGTGTTTTCTTGCTCATTCGTTCTAATTTGGATTATATAGTAAAACTTTATTAAAAAGCAATTACCATACTCAGGTGAGCTGTATAGTGCCATCATGGCCCTCTTATTTTCAGGAATATTAATATTTAACAGCTGAATATCTATTGTATATGAAATATGTGAATAGAATACAGTTTATTTATTTCAGATATTGCTTTATGATGTTTATCTTTACTATGGTTAGCTTTGAAAAATTATTTGCAGATTTTTGAAAACTTGTTTTTTGTATTGATAGCTTGACTGCTTTTCATTTGTATACATTTTTGTATTTTCATAATTTTTCAATAATTATAAGTTCTGCTTAGATCCTTCTCAACCTTCAGGTCACTTGAAAAATTCTGTCTACATGCTTATAAATAAAGCTCACTGACCAAGACTCATAACTCTAGCATGAATTGTTGGTTAATTATGTCCCTTTGTATATTTAAAGAATACCTCGTTAAAATTCTTTTTCATAACAACTAGATATATTTTTACATGATTTTA